TCGTTTAAAATTTTACTGTATCGCAACGACGAATATTTTTTAATATTATTATTATTATTTTTTTCTCTTTACGATTTTACCTCCCTCCCCAGTATCCCCTCCCATTCGCCTCCCCCACATCCTCCCTCCGACGTCCCCAAAAAAAATTTTTTTCTCATGGAATTTTTTATATTTACTACACGCCGTAAGGGAAAATTATAAGTGAAAATTTTACGATGAGTAAATAGCTGGAAATTTTTTTTATATTTTTTTTTTTGTTTTCCTTTGCACGCAAAGCTTTTTTTTTTTTTTTTGTTAATTTTTTCTCTCGTGGAATTTTATTTTTACACTTTCTACGACAAAAAAATCAATGACGTGGAATTAGATAAAAAAAAAAAAAAAAAAGTTAAAATTATTTGATTTAATTGTTAAAGACGTCGGTAGTGATGTCGCAACTAATTTCCTCCTTCCCGTCCCTCGTCCCCGCCCCCCCTTCCGAAAAAAAACGGGTTGAAATCGAAGGGATCTATAACCACGTAATACGTTAATCTAAAGCCACTTTTTTTTTCGTTCAATACAATGAATGGAAAAGGAAAAAAAAAAGAAAAATGCAAAGAAAATCGTTCGGTTAAAAAAATTTATTTATTTTTATACGTTCGTTTTCTCGTTCGTGTTTTTTTTTTTTTTTTGGTTTATGTGGAGGATGTTGAATAACATAAAAAACATAAAAAACATATTTAGTAGAACAAACACATTGTGTTGTTTTGTTTAAAAGTCGACCGAAAGAAAAAAAAAAACAGAAAAAAAAAACTCGAAACAAAACAAAACTCATTAATCAAAAAAAAAAAAAGAAGAAAAAAAAACAATTGACGAAAACAATTTATTAAAACGGGACTTGACAATTATTATTATTATTATTATTATTATTATTATTACTATTATTATTATTATTATTAATAATGAAAACGAAGAACGGCAAACCGTCGTCGTTGAATCCTCCCTCGCGTCGACCGCGACCTGTTCTTGTACGTTGGTTGGCCTACGGGAAAAAAAATTAAACCAACGCAACTCTCATCATCATCATCATTATCATCATCATTATCATCATCATCATCATCATCATTATCGATTCGTCTTCATCTGTGTAAAAATTTCTGTCCATTTTTTAATGAATGCGCGCACCACCTTCGCATGCCATTTTTTTTCTCCTTCTCTTTCATCTTCTTCTTCTTTTTTTTATCCTCCAGCACTTAACTCGATTAATAGTAATAATAATAATAGTGATAATTTTTTTTTTCTCTCTGGAGATCGAACGTGATTGATGATGAATTCGACTATATAACATATATATCGTGTTAATGTAAAAATTAACGTGGCACAAGAATAAAAATTTTTATCAATGAATGAATTTAAAATTTTGTAAAATGAATCCATGGGTGCTGGAACGATGTAAAAAAGTTTACCCGGATTTTTAAATTATTATTATTATTATCATTATCAATACGACGGATTTATAAAAACGAAATTATTAATATTTAAAATAAAAAAAAAAAAAAGGTGACCTTTTGACCCCGTGGAATTCCTAGAAAGAGAAAAATTTCAATTTTTAATTTTTTTTTTTTTTTATCATTTATTTTCTGGAGAAATGTTATGATGTTTTTTTTTCCCTCTCCGGATTCCATTTTTTTTTTTCTTCCAAAATGACGGCTAATTTTTTTTCTTTTCTTTCTTTCTCTCTTTCTCTTTTTCAGTAAATTAAAAAAAAAAAAAAAAAACTGGAACTGGAACAACATTTTTAAATAAAAAAAATCACGATCGAGTTTATGGAGAAAAAAAAATTATTATTATTATTAATAATAATAATAAAAAAAGACACGAAAGTTTTTCTTTTTCTCCAAACGGACAGACGGATGGACGAATTTTGTTCCAGTTATACGCTGGAAAATTGAATTTAAAAAAAAAAAAAGAAAAAGAAAATTTGTTTCTGAACTTGATGTGCGTTTTCCAATTGTTCAAAATATTTTTTTTTTTTCCATTATTTATTTCCGTGAGTTTAATATTTTCTCCAAAATTCAAAATCCACGTCCTGGAATTTTTTCCAAAACGGAAAATTCGGGTTTCGAGACTCCAAATGACGATTTTCCAGAGACGTTTTTTTACAAACACGATCGGAAAAAAGGAAAAAAATCCGTCGCGCATATTTTGTCTAATGACCCGACATCTTTCGGTCGAGATTAAATTGAACGCGTTATAAACGCTTGCGTAATTCGGTGGTGCGTGAACGCGCACGCACACACGCACACACACTCACATGAAATGGATTTTTAGAGTATGACGAAGAAAAATGTTTTTTCTTTCTTTCTCCATAAAGTTCTTCTCCATTAGTAAAAAAAAAAAAAAAAAACTTTCTCATAAACCACGATGATAATGATATTAATGTTTACACTTTCCCGCGCCTCCTTACTCCTCCCCCTCCCCCTCCTCCTCCCCCAGATAAAAAAAATATTTACTGGAACGAAATTTAAAATAATATCACGAGTGATGAAAAATATGAATTTTTACGACGGTGATGAATGGGAAAAAAATTCCAGGAGATTTTTTTTTTTTGGAGAAAATTAGAACGAAAATGATTGCGAGTGCGTTGAAAGAAAACGTTTGTTTTGTTGTTTGTTTGTATGTTTGTTTGTTGTTGGGCTGGAATCTCATTGCAAAACCTGATTAAATGATACAAATATCCAGTTTTCTCATCCCACTTAGGCGCCAACCTTGATTTCTCCAGGAGTGTTTTTGCCGTAATTACCAATAAAAAAAAAAAAAAAATATTTTAAACGCGCTGCACCTTACCATACGATTTTATCGTTTCTATCAATTAATAATAATATTAATTCCTACGATCGATCTTTCGTTTTGTTTTTATCTCCGAAAAAAATTCGCGTTCTTGTTGTTGTTATTGTTGGCACCGTAAGAAAAATTACTGGAGAATTCCATAAAAAAAAAAATTAGCGTTTGTTTTGAATGATTGTTGTTTGTTGAAATAATAATCGGTTGTTTATTAATTTAAATTTGGGCGGTTGTTTTATTTACGTATAAGGTTAACGACAACGACGCGTGCAAACGACGACAATCGCTTCTTTTTTTTTTGTTGTTATTTTCTTTTTGAGTTTTCTGTCGACAGTGATGACGTCGACGACGACGACAAATTTTAAATCCGTGACGTAATAATAATAATAATAATAGCGATGATGAAACAAACGAAAGCAAATTTTATGTCGCGATTAATAAAATGTACGTAGTATACAAAAATTCTTTAAAACAAACAAACAAACAAACGAAAATAAATTATTATAGTTGTTATTATTGTTATTATTATTATTATTATTATTATTATTATTATTATTATTATTATTATTATTACTATCAGTATTATTATAATCACTATTATTATTATTATTATTATTAAATGAAAAAATGTATATGGAAATGTAATAAAAATGAATCCGCTAAAGTAAAGCTGGACCAGAACAACAACATCCAATCGTCAGCATTCCTGTTTTTTTTTTTTTTTTTTTTTTTTAATAATAATAATAATAATTATTAATACTATATTTTCGTTTTCCCCGACGGAAAGAATCTTTTAACCTGGAAAGAAAACAAAAAAACATATTTTTACTGAAGAAGCGGATTCGAACCCGATTCGGTTTGCTCATGAATATTTATTCCTTATCATTCCTTATTACTTTTAAAATTTATAAATGACGTAACAACAACAACAATTTTGCGTACCTCAACAAACTCTTTAAGAAAAATCACAATTAAAACACAAATTTAGTTTGAATTTTATTTCCGGTTCCGTTTTTTTTTTTTTTTTTTTTTCCAAAATGACGATTGCAAGACGACAAAACAAACAACAACCGGAAAAGAAAAAAAGTTTAGAAATTAATTTTTATCATTTCCATCCTTCTCATGCAAACATAATAATAATAATAATAATAATAATAATAGAATAATGCCACTCAAATAATAATAATAATGATGATGGTATATGAATAATGACATAAAACAAACGCGAATCGGAAACGTTTTATTTTTTTACATGATAAAAAATTCAATAAATTTTTATTTATTTATTTATTTATTAATAATAATTATTAATAATTACAAAAACATTATTTACATATTTATTTATTTATTTATTTTGTGTTTGTGTGTGTAACGTAAAATTTTTAAAAAAATGAAAATTCGGCCCCGCCTTTTCTCTATCTCTAATTCAAAAAAAAAAAAAAAAACAAAAAAAAACTTTACAGTCTTCTTATTTATTTTATTTTACAAAAAAAATTGACTTCATATTATTATTATTATTATTATTATTTTTAAATAATTACTCTTAATAATAATAATAATAATATTGATTTACCCTCGATATTTGGTATAAAATTTTTCATTCATTTATTTATTAATTAATAAATTTGTCGAATTAATATATAATTTAAATAAAACAGGTACAAATTAAAATAATTAATAATAATAATAATAATAATAATAATTTTTTTACGTAAGTTCGTTTGTTTGTTTAAACAAACGAACAAACAAGCGACGGTTTATAATATAATTTTTTTACTGGAGAATCCAAAAAGAAAAAAAAAATCGATTTTTATAATTTTTTTGTAAACTGGAGAATGATAATAAATACAGAGTAAAAAATTAATTCTCCAGGATTTTGTATGTGTTTGTGTGTTTACTGGACACTTTATGGAAAAGTTTTTTAAATTTATTAATAATAATAATAATTACGTTGATGTATGAGTAAGAAGAAGAAGAAGAAAAAAAAAAAGAAAAATGATGATGAGTGCGAAGAAAGGCACGTTAACGAAATTCGTTTTTTTTTTTTTTTTATTTTTTCTCCAGTTGTACGAAAACCGTTAAAAATTTGTTTGTTTGTGTTTGTTGGACAACGACGACGGATGTGACGTAACGCGTTTAGTCCAATCGAAACAAACAACAATAAAACGAATAAATTTTTATTAAAAATCTTCAAAGAGTTTAAGTTCGGATTCTCCAACGGATGGTTTCGATTTCCAGTCGCTTTCTGGATAATCTTCAAAATTTCTCGTGTCTCCGTCGTATTTGACGTGCGGCAATATGGGGGGCTGGAAAAAAAAATGACGTCATCAATTTTCATTTAAAATAATAAATTATTATTATTATTATTATTATAATTATGAATATCATAATCGGTGTGAAATTTATTCCGGTTGAAAAAAAAATAAATCACAAAGAGAGAGAAAGAGAGAGAGGGGTAGAAAGGGAGAGAGAGAGAGAAAAGGGGGGAGAGGGAGAGAATAGCGTTAATAAAATATTTAAAAGATTCTGGAGGAAAGTTTTTCATTAATATTGAATGAAGTTAAGGAGCGGAATACACCTGAGTTTAAATGGGAATAAAAATTCCAGGGGAAAATTTTTTTTCTTCTCTCTCTTTTTTCTTTTTCCTTCTCTTTCCCTTTCTTCTTTTTTTTTTCTTTTTCTTTCTCACCTTCAACTGTTTGTAGTAAACTTCCGTCCAATCGATTTCTTTAAACCATCTATGCCTTTTTACATCTTCGGCTCCATTCTGTGGGGGGAAAAAAAAAAAAAAAACAAAATGAATGAATGAAATAAATTCCAGGAGAGGGGAGGGGGGGATACAAAAAAAAAAAATTCATCGCGAATTTCTTTTCCCCCTTTTTTTCCTCGTTTGTTACCCACTCGCCACCTTATTCATACCTTCATGTTTCCTAATCTTTTCGTTCTGTCGTGTACGAGTAATTTTTTAATGAGATCCTTCGCGACGGGATCGATTTGTCTGAACCATTCGATTTTTCCAGCTAATATTTTTTCGTATATTCCAAATGGATAACTGTCGAAAAAGGGAGGATGACCGGCTAACATTTCGTAAATCAAAACACCTGAAAAACAAGAAAACATTAACGTGATGTCGAGAAAAAAAAAAAAAAAAAACTTTACGAGAAATCGTAATCGGAAACGAGAACAAAAACAAAAACAACAAAAACAATAGCAGACGTAATCGCCACGTGAAAAAAAAAAAAGAAAAAAAGAAAACCGGAAGTGAAATCGTTTCGACACTTTAACTAATGAAAAAATTACGTGGTAAAAAAAAAAAACGGTAAATTGTGTTCAGTAAAGCTTGACGACGAGTATTTTCCTAGACTCAAATAAATTTTCTCCTTTTTGTTTTTTTTTTTTTTTTTTTGTTCTAGACTAATAATTAAAAACTTTTTTTTTTTTTACACTAACAAACAAAAAAAAAAAACAAACAGACAAACAACCAGGTCAGGATTTTATTAAAATTTAAAATTTTATTTTTAAAAGGAAAAAAAAAAAAAAAAAAAATTCCGGTTATTGAACTCGTGTGTCGACCGCGTACGGATCGAGTCGGTAACTTGGTTGCAAACCGTTTTTCGTGCAAACTTTTCCTTCCTCCTCCTCCTACTCCTCCTATTCCACCTACTACTCCTCCTCCTCCTACTCCTCGTTATTTGAATCAGTACCTACCCAATGCCCACCAATCGACGGCCTTGTTGTGACCTTTCGATTGTATTATTTCGGGTGCTAAATATTCCGGAGTACCGCACAGCGTCCACGTTCGATCCGTTAGCTTTTTGGCAAAACCGAAATCGATTATTTTCAAGTGTCCATCTTGATCCAAAAGTAAATTTTCAGGTTTCAAGTCTCTATAAACGACGGATTGACTGTGTAAATATTCTAAAGCTAATATCACTTCACACGAGTAAAAATTTGCCGTCGTCGTGTTGAATCTCCCGTAATTTCTCAAATAGGAAAATAATTCGCCGCCGCAAACGTAATCGAACAACATGTACAAACGAGAATTATCTTTCCAACTGCACCAAAGGTTAACGATGAACGGATGCTGGATTTCTTCCAGAATCCTTTTCTCGTTTTTAACGTGTTCGACTTGTTTCAATCGTATTACGTCGCTTATCAATAGGATTTTCATTGCCAGGTACTTCATTGTTGATTTTTCACGGCAAAGGCACACTCGTCCGAAAGTTCCCGTACCTGAAAAAAGTACAAAAAAATTAATAATAAAAAAATCAAGGGGAAAGGGATGGCATTGAAATTTTATATACCGGAAAACCGGCCGTTAGCCGTTAATGATGATGATGATGATGATGATAAATAAAGGGATTCCTCGGAGTGAAATTTTTTTTTTGAAAATGAGGAAATGAAGAGAGAGAGAGAGAGAGAGAGAGAAAAAAAATGAAAAACGGTTGTTGACGACAAACGTCGTTTGTTTCCTCTCTTTCGCAACAACAACAACAACAATTCTCAACAAAAATTATTAGTTTTTTTTTTTTGCTGCACATAATTATAACATTAAAACATTCGTAAAAAACTCAAATCCCGTTTATAATTAAATAAAAAATAAAAATAAAAAGGAGAAGAAGAAAACAACAACAAACTCGACAGACAAACAACAACAACAACAACAGCAGCAGCAGAAAAAAAATAAAAGACAAAAAAAAAGCAAGAGAGAAAATAAAATAAATTAAATTACTTTAAGCTTAAATAAAGAATGGGATGATAATAATAATAATAATAATAATAATAATAATAATAATAATCTTCTTATCGAAATGAGAAAAGGAGGAAAACAGAAAAAAACCGGAAATGGCTTCGTTAAAAAATGACCGAAAAAAAAAAAAAAATTTTAACCGTTTTAAACAATCAAACACCTTGAAAAAAGGAAAGGAAAAGATAAAAAAAAAACCGTACGAGAGAGAGAGAGAGATAGAGAGAAAAGAAGTAATAATAATAATAATCGTCGAGCATGAGAAAAAATATTTTCATCAGGTACGCGATGAGGTACCCGAAAAAAAAAAAAAAAAAAAAAAAAATTTCAACCTAATTGTTGTTATAACGTTCATTTCACGATCCCCCCGTGAGAATTTTCAACTAACGAGTTATTACGTAAAAAAAAAAAAAAAAAAAAAAACAAACGCACGTAGATTCGAAGCGAATTTTTCATCTTCCTTTTTGTTAACGCGCGCCCCTCCCCCCTCTCACTCACACCTTCGAGCCCCCCAATTTTTGATTTAATTCGAGTGTTTGAGTCCACTTGGTAGACGTGACGAAATTATTATTATTATTATTATTATTTTTAAAATTGAAATTGTTGTTGTGTGTGTGTGTGATGCTACCGAAAACAAACCTACAAATTGCGATAAAAAATTACCCCTTTCCTCCCCTCCCCTCTCCCCATTTCCCCCCAAATTAATATTTTTTTTTTAGCACCTGAATGTGCCAAATCGTGATCTTATCATTAAATCCCACTATTATTATTATTATTATTATTATTATTTTTTATTAATCTATGAAAAAAGGTAATAAGGAATAAATTCTGCTACCGTTACTACTTGACACGACAGCTCCGATGACAATGATGATGATGATAATAAACCGGGGGGGGGGGTGCGTGGGGGGTGGGGGTCAAAAAAATTTATTCCGACTAAACGATGGTAAAAAAAAACGATTCGTTCTAATTTGTTTCCACTTATTTATTCTTTTCTTTCATTCCAGAAAAAAAAAATTTTCTTATTCCCGATTTTCACCTTTTCCCTCTCTCTCTCTCCCTCTCTCTTTCTCTCTCACTCTTTCATTCATTATCCTTTTTTTTTTTGCTTGATAAGATTTAAAAGATTTCCCTGGGGGGGAAAATTTTTTTTTTTTTTCTTTTCCTCATTTCTATTGAGTGAAAACGATTAATTAATTGTTTTTTTTGTAAATAAATAAAAAAATCCCGTCGTTGTCGTCCGCGTCGTCGTCGTCGTCGTCATCGTCGTCTGCTGTCACGTTTATATTATTTATTTTATTACGATCAAACGTTAAGAGCTTTTTACGTTTGTGTGTTCAAATGATAATAATAATAATAATAATAAAATTATTTACGGTGATGATAATAATGGTAATAAAAACAAAGGGAATAAACTTTTGTTGGCAAAATATTAAATAATTTTTATAAAGAAAAAAAGTTAAACATTTTACACACACTCTCTCTCTTTTTGTCTCTCTTTCTCTCTCTCTCTCTTTGTCTCTCTTTCTCTCTCTCTCTCTCTTTTTGTAACTTTTTATTGAAATATAACAAATCATTTTTTTTTGCTTGTCTATATTATCGACAACGGCAATAAAAACAAAAAAAAAATTTATTTTTAAAATCAATCAAATCTTTTTTTTTTTTTTGGTTAATAGCATTTAAAATATATTTTTTGGCAAAATTAAAAAAAAAAGTTGTTATTATTATTATTATTATTATTATTATTATTATTATTAATATTTTATTTTATTGAAAAAAAAAAAAAAATACCCGCGAGCGGCGGCCAAAAAGACAAAATAAATAAATAAAAATTTTTTTTTTTTTTTTTTTAAAGTTTTCGTAGAAATGCGTGAGAATATTGAGGAGGAAAAAAAATGAAGCAGAAGAAAAATTTGGAAAAGAATGTTTTCTCTCTCTCTCTCAAGATGAATCGAAAAATTATTATTATTATTATTTTTTCTTAAAGCGTAGCAATAATAATCCGTAAAGGTTAACGATGTTGAATTTCCATTTGGGGGTTGCTGGAACTGATTCTCTCTCTCTGTCGTTTTCGTTTGTTTCGTTCGACAAAAACAAACGACAAAATTTTTACACAACCGATTCGTAAACTAAATTTTCCAAATATGTATACAAATAAATAAATAAATAAAATGAGGGATTTAGTGTTTGTCGCACGAGCACAACTCCTCACACACACTATCAAACTTTATTAGAGCGACAGTAGAAGAAAATTTTTTGCTGTACGACAACCCCAACCAAAACAAACAAACAAAAAAATAAATAAAATTAATAATGATAAAAAAAAAAAAATAATTCGGCCAAAAAATCGTTTCGGAAGAACGAAAAAAAAAAAAAAAAATAATAATAACAATAATAATAAAAATAATAATAATAATAATAATAATAATAGTAATAATAATTAATGTCGTTAGTTTAATAAAATTGTGTCAAAAACAAACGACAAACGACACAAACCACGACCCGTTTCCAAAAAAAAAAAAAAAAAAAAAAAAGTCATTCATTCACCTGAATTCGATTAAATGACAAGACAACCGCCGCAATCGAACGAAATGCTAATAATAATAATGATGATGATGATTTTTTTAATAGAGAATCCTCATTGTAGTTAAATAAACATAAATTAATAATAATAATAATAATAATGATAATAATGACCGGTTTATAATGACCTCATTCCGGTAACATTTACAAAGTGTATATACGAAGGGCAAATTATTGTACCGAAATAATTCGCACGTTAAAATAAAAAAAAAAAATTTTTTTTTATACCTCCCCCTCCTCCTCCCCCCAATCCGCCTCCCGTCAAATTCTCCACCTCCTCCTCCTCCTCCTCCTCCGCCTTTTACTAATTAATATTATCATTATTATTTTTATTATTGTAACTTAAAAATATTTTTTAAAAAAATTTTAATTAATCAATTTTTTTAATATTTTTTTTTTTTCTTACGAATGGCTAGTTTCGACCTTAAAACTCTTTAAGCCTCCCTCTTTCTCCCGCCTCCCCCCTTCTTCCCCCCATTTACTTTTCCCATACGCATACGCACACGCACACGCATTTAACAACAAAAAATTTTTTTTTTTAGTCAAGGTTTTTTTTCCCCTTTACTTCTTTTTTAAATCGTTGTATTGCCAAAATCGAAATTGCAATTGCTAAATTTATTGACAATATTATTATTATTATTATTATTATTATTATTATTACTTTTTCCAGCTGGAGGAAACGAAAGAGTGAGTGAGAGAGAGAGAAAGAAAGAAAGAAAGAGAGAAAACGATTAAATTTGATACATAAATAAAAATAAAATTAACGTAAAATCGTGATAAAATCAGAGCAATGCTAATAAAAAAAAAAAAAAAAAAACTCTTGATTAAAATGAAATTATTATCATCATCATCATCATTAACATTCACTATTATTATTATTATCATTTTTATTATTATTAACGATGACGAAATACCTGTGAATAAGAAATAAAAAAAAAGCTACCTGCGTCGTAAAGTAATTAACGGTTAATTTTTTTTTTTTGTCGCGAGCTCAACGACCTCATTTCGTCGTCGATCGTTTAATTAATCAATTTTTAATTACTTTCGGTACAATAATAATAATAATAATAATAATAATAATAATAATAATAATAATGATGATGATGATAATTAATTAATTATTAAAACTCTAAAAATTTTATTATTACCGGAAAATTAAATAAGTAAACAAACAAACAAATTTTTCTATCCGTTTTTTTTTTTTTTTTTTAAATTCGTTTGTTTGTTTTTTTTTTTTGGGGGGCCTGGAGGGAGGGGGAGAGAGAGAGGGAGGGAAAGTAACATATTTGTTTTGCACGATAAAAATTTATCATTATTATTATTAATAATTTAAATTTTAATGTTTATTTATGAAAACGGAGAGTGAGGTGGAGCAAAGTTTTAAAAAAAAAGAAAAGTTTTCAAACTTTTATTTTTGCGGTCGTTTCCTTTCTCTCCCTTCCCCACCCCACTACCCCTACCCCCCGATTATTACGGTCGTCTGCTTTCACACGATGTCCATGTCGAAATAATCAACATGTTTTTTTCCTATTAAATATCATACGAAGGATAAAAAAAAAAAAAAATGAAATTTATGAAATGATAGTTAAAAAAAAAAAAAAAAAAAATGACAAGGCGTAAACTTCCCACATTGAATCGAATTCTGTCGAGAAGGAAAAACCGAAAAAAAACAAGTTTTCGCCATTACGATCGATATTTTAAACTTTTTTAAAAAATAAATTTGAATTTTTTCCAAAAACCTGTTTCAGTAAGCGAACAAGTATAAAAAAATCCATAAATATAAAAAAAAAAGGAAACCAACAAACAAACAAACGTTATACAAACGAATAAAAAAAAATTAAATCGATACGCGATCG